TTGCTCTGGCTGATGCCCTCACCGTTGCTGCAGTGGTTGCCAGGACAGCACACGGCGTCCCGGATGCATCGCTTCCTACGCTTCCTGCACGGCAGACAGGCGCCTCGGGATCCGTAGCAGAACTCTTCGTCGCCGCATTCCTCGTCAGTCGAGCAACTTAGAGGCTGTGTTGGACAAGGTAAAACTTTAAAATGATTGCACTTAATAAATTTGCCTAGGCGTACGTTTGATTTGAGTGTCCGCATTGCACGTGGGGAGATTCCTCCGTTGCTTTTTAATGAAATGAACTTGGGCTGCGTGCGCGCGTGCCATTTGCGAGACGACTGTACGGATAACGCCGGGTAGATACAGCACAGTCTGCAGAAACTTTTTGTGGCGTGGGGCAGAGTTGCTAGTTATTCGTCCACTTACCTGCACTGGGTCAATTGCTGTGTTCTGGTTGCCGCTGTCAAAAGGCAAAATGTCGGGACTTGCGCTGACCGGGTGCCCTGGATTTGCTGCTCCACCAGGAAGACTCTTGATGGAATTGGAATTGTGCAGGGCAGACCCGGCATGGGTACCCCCAAAGTACACATACAGGGTACAAAAAACCGCCAGAAACGGATGCACTAAAACCAGCAGCATAGCTATGCAGCACGATGAGTGACAAGTAACGCAAAGGCACAAACTCCGCTCGGGCAACTTTTGCGCCGGACGCCGTATAGTCCCCCTTTTTAAAATGTGAAGCTCGCAGGTTTCTATGGATGAAGTGAAGTTTCCTGTCTCCTCTGAAGACTCCGCTATCGTGATGCTCGATTTATACATGTGGAGTTGTTTGCATTCCCGCCCCTAGCTATGTGTAACAAAGGGGTGGATGAAATTTCAAAGAGCCCGAGTTCATGACGCTTCTTCCCAGAGCAGTTACGCTTGCTATTGGAAGGGAGATCTGGTCCTAAGGTTTCACAATGTTTGTGTATAATTATCAATGAGTCCGTGAGATGACATCAAACACACACCGAAACATTTCCATCTAATGGACCCGCTGTACATACTTTATATGGGATTTAAGGGATATCACTAAACCTATTCTAGGCGTTCTTGGAACTTGGAAAAGCTCCGGACATGTGTTTTTTGCGTTTACAGTCAACAACGGCGTTGTCTTTGTAATTAAAAAAAATGTTGAATTTACCACAAGTTCCGAATCCTCGTTTTCATTTATGAGTTTTTTTTTTTAATAAGAAAACACTTGGTGTTTTTCATTAAACAGCTTAAGCGAATCTTAATATATTATGACGTGTGTCGAAGCTTCAAATTTCCTTAAAATTGCAATGCCTTGTCAAATTAACAATAGTTGACGATCCAGACGATTCACCCACTTTTTTTGTAATGGATGGTTATTCAAGTTATTTTCGGTCCATTAGCAGCATTTGATACGTAATTGTAACGGGAGAACTTTGAAATGCACTTGATTAAACAAGCGGTGCAGATCAAAGGCCCGTATGCAAATCACTGGGAGTGAAAAGTTTACCGAATTAATTATCATTCAGGCTAAGTGCTTTAAAACAAATACGGGTTGATTAGCAGTCAGCAATAAGGAACTGACATCGGTCTCTCTGAACTTCAGCTGTGCGCTGTTAAGACAATTAGACACGTTTCTAACAAGCCGGTTTCTCAACTGAAAGTTTGTCATTATTTTTTTGGAACGTTGCGTTGTAAATGTGTTGCCTAAAGGTAGGCTAATTATAATATTATTTATTGATATCTTAACGACATTCGACAATTGGGGTGTATGTAAACATACACTTTATGTCTATAGTATGATTGTCAACAACGTAGGCCTGCGTGACAAAACTATTTAAGTAACTAATGCCCTAAAAAGTTCCCAAGTTATGGAAGATATTAATTTTCCGCATCCTTAAGTAACTTGCAGAGGATCTGTCAGATTATAGCCTTATCACAAAATTAAAGGTTTATTTGGCTGTCTTTTGCGGGAATCTAATGCTTTCCGGTCAGTGACTTTTAACTTTAATCAATATCCGGAAGATAGGGGTTTAAACGCTGTTTTTCGGGTTCCCCTTAGGCGGGTGATAAATTAATTGGTGGTTGTTCCTGAATTAAAAGTTAAGGATAATGGTCTTCAGTATATAGACATCCCTTGATTGAGAAACTATTATCATTCCAAAACATGGTGACCCGTTTTATATCGAAGAATAAATATTGTCAAAGTGCGGTAGGCCTATTGAAAAGGTGATGGAGATGACCCATTTTACCAAAATTACAGTTTCACATAAAGTAACAATTAGTCCATTGAATAAGGGATGCGAAAGAATGCTTCGGATGTTCAAAAAAGTATTCATTTGGTGTATCCTGAGGTTAGATCTTTGTAGTCACGTAATACGCTAACGGTTTCTAAGCACATGCCTGCCAAATACTTGGAATAACCTCCTAAATAGAAAAGCTTTGATGCTGTTTACAGAGGTTACTTATAATAGGCAACTACAAGACAAACGTTCAATACACTTCATTAAACGTGAATTCGCGGCATTCAGCCCGATTCTTTGGTCTTTCGGCTTTGTTTTAATTGTACATCCAGTGCCTAGAGTGGTGTAAAATGAAGCTCCGTGTAAAGGAGCCTTTGATGAAGACAGATCAAACAGAGCTGAAGCCCCATGTCTTAATCAGACTTCGGCAGGCATGGCATCTTCACAAACAGTTCGTTTGCTCGGCTTTTAGCGGCTTTTAGCGGACATTGTACTCGGCAAAATGATTTGGTTGAATGCCAGGTAATCCTGTTTTCAATTGCCCGGTCGCCTCTTAATCTTTATGCTACAATAGACGCTGCTAGTTAGCCACGTCATTAAAGTGAAAAAATAAATACACAACCATTGGCGTCTGACCGAAAAACCGTGTTTTTTTAACTAGTTTTTTTCCCCTCCGAAGTAGAAAAAGGGATTATTAGACAGGTGTGCGCCCTGCTCCATCTAGCGGTCTGTACTGTTCACGTCCTCCTCATAACATATATGTCACGTAGAGGTGGATGGTATATTTCATCCATCCATCCATCCATCCATACATCCATCTTCTATCTACTGAGTCTAGTAAGTTCCCGGTGGGACGTGGAGCCTTACGCTTCTTAATAAATGAATAATTCCTTTTATTAAAACGTTAGTATAATTAAATCAGTGAAACCGGGTCATGCTTGAAGGGATCACATCGGGAAATGAACTGCCCCCAGCATCCTGCCAAAATGGCTTAGCTGTTATTCATGCCTTAAATGGATCATATTCCACTCCTGCCTGAATTACACCTGGAAGGTTTGACCCCCCCTCACCCCCCCAACAGAAAAATACAAACTGTCAGTCAGTCACTGCCTGACCTTGTAGTGCATGGTTGTGTGTGTGTGTGTGTGTGTGTGTGTGGGGGGGGTCAGGTACACATTACATAGTGGGGACCATATGTCCCCACAATGTGATAAAAAACCTGTTATTTTGATGATGTGGGGACCATTTTTCCCCCAGTCCCCACAAGCTGAAAATCTGTGACTGCAGCCAAACTAAAAATGTCAAAAGACTTCTAATTTGTTTGGTTGCTTATGGTTAAGGTTTGGGCTGGGTAGGGGTTAAGCTTATCATTGTTGGGATTAGAGTTTTCCTCTTAAAAATGAATGGACGGTCTCACAAAAGTGTAAGTACAGGTGTGTGTGTGTGTGTGTGTGTGTGTGTGTGTGTGTGTGTGATTATGTGTGCTGTACCACTTATGATTTAAAGATGTCTGCTTCTGAATTTTTAAATTTCACTCTTCCTCGAAGCCCCTGTTGACCTGCTGTGGTGTAATAAGGCTGACAGCTGCAGCCAGTGGGAAGCAGCCTTTGCTTACAGATGCTGTTCCAGGTTCTCCTGAGGGTTTACTGCCAAAGATTGCACAAGGGAGCTGGTCTGTAGAATGGAAGTCGAAGCCATGAACTAATCTATGCCACAAAAGCACTAAGTTGGGGAATGGGGGGGGGCAGTCAGGTGCCTAACCTGGACCTATTGTGATTGGCTATGCTGGTCTTCCCCAAGACAAATCTTGTATATTTGACATGGTGTCTGGATTATCAATACGATGATCATATTCATTCCAGAGAGATGCAAGATCTGACTATCCAACGTCGTTCGCATTTATTGTTGCCTTGTGAACAATACAAATTTTAAGGGGCAAATTCGCAGCACATTTACAATACAAAACGATTCAACACCGACAAAAGCTAATCTGAAGCAAATCCGACCGCAACAGCTCATTACTTTGAGTGTCACAAACTGGTCCTGTAGGACTGGATTCCTACCTGTTGAGCTTCTAATTTATGCTCTAATTGGACAAACGTGGACTTAGCATTCAGTGTTATGAATTTTAGAAATGTACCTGCACACACTGCAGTCCCACAGGGCCAAGACTGGGCACCTCTGAAGTGAGAGCAGGAAATGAGGTTTGCTAACTAGACAAAAGGACATCTGGGTACAAAACAGTACTGTAAAATACTTTTCTCCTATTTCAGTGACATGGTAAACTGACAGCTGCAAAAGACTACATTGAATCTTACATTTACCTGTATTAAGTCTATGTTAAGTCTATGTTACATGTGTGCTGAAGTCACATGACGGGAATGCCTCCATTGGTACATTCTGGTTGAAGGTCACATGGGCATGAAGATGCGATTCCACTGTCCCACTGAAAGAACCAGGGTTTTCTCCCTGTCTTTCGGTTTCTACAGATATTTTTACCACCCATGCTGCTGCTCACTTCAAGTTTTGCTCGATTCAGAGAGGAAATCATGTCAACGAGGCCTTGTGTTCGCTGCATGTGTGGGATCAACTGGAAAAAAGACCACCCAGCAAAAGTGAGAGTGCAGTTAATGCGAAAGTATGAAGAGTCCCCTGTTCTTAACTTAATCTGCGCAAACAAGCCGCAGACGCGCTTTTGCAGAAGCGGCGGACCGGGCCTCGCGGCCAGGCTGCGGGAAATGAGGCGTTCGTCACGTTGCGTTGTTTTGAAAGTTACGTTTTTATTTTAAGAAAAAAAGGCATATAAATAGCAGAACCATAGAAAAGCAGCAGGAGCCAAAAAAGGGACAAGAAGTCAAGACGTTTGGCTTCATCATGCAGCATTAACACAAATGTTTCTGTCGTTTTTGGATGCCATTGATATAAGGCACTTGCTATTATGCCAAACAGCCATGTGATGGGTCGCCCAGACAGCCTGGTGAGGGAGCATACAGTCATTGAGTTGCTGACCAACATTATGAGTTTGTTCAAGTCTGGTTAGATCTCAGTTGTAAGACGGCATGTTTTGTGTAAAAAGTCAAAAAGAGTAAACGCTGATATACTCTAACAATTCAAAGTTGTACATGTATCACAAAATATTAGCACTAAATATTTATTTACACAAATATTTACCTCTGGTCCTAAACAATAAATAAGATTTCTCTATCCAGCAAATTGTGTTTACAAGAATCTGAACGTGAAGCGTGGTGGCATGTCGTGCTCCCCTTCTGAGATGCCTGCGCACAGAGACTGTTGAAATGCAACTGCAGAATCAGAAATCTGTGATACTATCCGTCCTTTAATCAACTTTAATCATTCTGCTTACATCGTCTAAATTCTTATGTATCATGAGAGTCTGTCACAGTCTGCCCCCTGGTGGTGAAAAAGTAGTATGCCTCTGAATTGTTTAAGCTGTTTTTTCAGACAGTCTCGGCTGATCTATAAATTACCAAACCAATGCGGGCATCAGAGACTACTGCTACTTTCTACTTTTTGAGGGTTTTTTTTGTGTGTTTAGAAAGCACATTAGCATGTAATGACTCCTAAAGTTAAGCATGTCTAAGTGGAAATTATGTACTGCAAATTAAGAGCATATGAGTGCAACTCAGTGCTAGCAAAATATAGCGGTCATGAAAAATTGTGGGTGAAGGCAGATGTACAGTGTAGGTTTTCCATTTTTTTTTAGAAGACATTAAAAAGGGAAGAGTTGTGCTTCTAAGTTAAATTGTGTTAATACTGATACATATTTGTCTATGTTTGAATGTCTGTGTGTGTGTGTGTGTCTGTGTGTGTTTTGGAATATATATGCAATATATACATATACATACTGTATCTGCTACCATACGATTTCAATTGACTTTAAAATAACATTCAGAAAGAGAGGTGAGCACTTCAAAAAGTGACTCTAATAAGTTACATCGCCATGGTCCTGCAGACCCCAGAGAACAGGAGGGTGCTGTTCTCTCACTCGTACACAACTTTAGAATCACAGGTTAGCCGACCGTAACCGCGGCGACAGCCAACAGCTGGGGGAGAAAAAAAATCCCAGAAATCCCAGAAGATGTGGTTCTGCCTCACAGTACGTGGCTGTTCCATCTAAAGCTAAGGTTCTGAGAGAGGGGAGATCTGTGGTAAGAAAAGGAACCCTTTAAATGATTATTTTTAAGGCTCAGCTCGAGGATCGACGTTAGCGGCGTGGTGATCTTTGCAGCGTTACGTTCTGCAGGAGCCATACTGTTACCCAGACGTTAGCCCCTATGCCACGCCTGTGACCCGGCAGCATTGGCAAAGGCATCACGGTGACCCAGAGCTCTGACTCTCCCCTTCGTCTCTCCTCGTTTCGCTATTTCTTTGCTTTGCTGCATGTGTAGATTTTTTATTATTGAATTATTTTTTTCTTTTTTAAAACTTCCTGAAGAAGGCGCCCCCAAGGCGTCACAGAAGCCGATTTCAGGAATCCAGGAGGGGGGGGGGGGGCTAAAAATCTGTGTCCCAGCCAGAGTTGTCATCTGGAGGTGGGTCATCATTGTCCTCTGGGAAACTGTCGAAGTTGCTCGTGTCAGTCGGTGACGTGACCTGGGCGACAGAACAATCGGTTTCGAAATAAGCTTTATCGTGTTTACTCCAAGTGAAAAAAACAACGTCACATGTCATGACCTCAACCCACCACGCTTGTTCTCATATGAAACCGGACAATCTTACATGCCTTAGATGCTGTTTCCACATCTGAAGCTCTGTAATCTGTTTTGAGGATGTTCCATTTTGAATGTTTTTTCTTTTTTTTAAAGGAACATTACAGTTCGGAAAGTGAAACCTGTACTTACACTGGGAATGATAGGTGGTGTGAGTGTTCCTTTCCGCAACCCTTCCCAGTTAAAGCCTTCAAACCACCTAGGATTCATGCAACAGACGAGGCTATTAATGAAACTGCCCGTCATCTTATTTTAATGACAGGCGCTAGGTAAACACAGCAGAGTCGGCGTTGAATTCATAGCTTTGATGTCACTCACTTGTGCTTCTGAATATCTTTGACTCCATTTTTCAAGTTTCCAAGTCTCTCTGAAGGATTGTCCCTGAAAATGAGACGCATGTTTATTAGTAGAGAATTGCCCAAATCACACTAACTATACATGTACATCAGTGCATGCAGATCTTCATTAAGATTCACCTGCATAGTTTTTTTATTAGGTTGGCGGCGTTTTTGGTAATCTTCTTTGGAAATTCAATCATGTCGATGCCCCGCAGGATTATGTTGTAGGTTTTCATAGGATCAGGGCCTGAGAATGGAGGGCTGGATGGGAAAATAACAGAAAACACAAACATGAATTTTCGGGGATGTCTTGACAGGGCTACTCAGCATGAAATCACGTCCGTGCGGTGATTGCGGATATCTAAGATAGCGATGACTGTGAACGTTTTGAGAGGGGCAATGGAAGACAGTCCATGTTTACTGCCTAGCGCCTTTGAGAGACTAGACAGCAGCTTCTTGCTCTATGACAGCAGGTTCTCTTTCCAAACAGGTGTAAACTTATCTTTCTTGGTTAGAGGTGCCAGGATCACAAGGACACATCCCGGCCCCTTGTTGACTCTTGTCACATCATATACATTACATTCTTAAGGCACAAGGTGTCAGCTTACTGAGTGGGATTCTGACAGAGTTTCTAACGTACGCCTGATATCTGTTTATGGACATATGCTTGCACTTGCCTGCCAGTCAGCAGCTCATACATGAGGATCCCAAGGGACCAGTAATCAGCAGAAATGTCATGGCCTTTATTCAGGATGATCTCCGGAGCTACATACTCTGGTGTTCCACAAAAAGTCCAGGTTTTCTTTCCAAACCCAATCTTTTTGGCGAAACCAAAATCCACCTGAAAAGACAAAGTAGACTGTAACCCTGCTCTTTGCCATTATTTATCCCCACCCGACTTTACAATTAAAGATCAGAACATTGTGTTCTCTCTTCTTGGGATAGGTGCCTACTCACCAGCTTGGCATAACCTCTGTGGTCAAGTATCAGGTTCTCTGGCTTGAGGTCTCGGTAGATGATTCCTTTGGAATGCAGGTAGGCGAAAGCTTCGACGACGCACGCCGTGTAAAACCTGGTCGTCGCATCTTCAAATGAACCTCTGCGATAATGAAGACGCCAGACCAATGGGCGTATTGATTCACGACAAATAAAAGTTGAAGCAATAACAAGAAAAAGGCACTCGTCTTGTCAAGGCTTGTCTGCCCAGTGAAAATACTTAGGGATCATGTCTAAATGTTGCCTTTGATCCCAGGAAGCCAATGCACAATTGCCTTAGCACCTCACAAACAATTAGCATGCTCATCCCTATGCGTGACGCGCCTTGTTTTAAGGTCGTCAATAATAACCACATCTCACTGAAACCTTATACAGCATGATACAGGTTCGAGAGAACATGTCACATGTTTTTGATTTGCCAGGATCAGTGTTCGCCATACCTGTCCCTAAGAATGGTCCACAACTCTCCCCCGAGGCAGGCTTCCATTAGCATATACAGGTACTTGCTATCCTTGAATGTTCGGTAGAGTCTAGAGGTGGAAAGCAGAGAAATTGTAAAGAATACTGTGCCAGTGGGATACAAAAGATAAGAAAGGAAAGCCGGAGTTGGAGGCCACATGTTCCAAGCATGAGTTTTTGCTGGTAGATATTTTAATTTTTAAATTCCCTTCTTGCCTGAAGTCTTCCTTGTTCACATGGCCTCTGCTTTAATCGAGTTACAAAGAACTGTAGATAAAACCAGAGCTTGCAGCATGAGATATAGTTCCTGATGTACGCATGACAGGTTAGTTATGTGCAATAGTCATGGTTGCAGCGTCAACCCCTGTGAGGAGAGGCCCAAGGAGTTAACCTCCGATTTGGGACCTGCAGTTGCCCAGTTGAGCAAGCAACCTTTACAGAATTGAGCATGCAACCCAGTGGTTCACTCCGAATGAAGGTGCCCATGGTATTGGACTGTCAAGGTAGTTCATTTTGGAGTTGAGCCCCGAGCAAATGAGGAATTATGTGTACCTAACGATAAAGTCAGAGTGAGCTTCCTGCATGATCTGCTTTTCGGAGCGGATGTGCTCCTGCTGCCTCGTGTCCACGATGTGCCTCTTCTTCAGGATCTTCATTGCAAACGTCTTGCCCTCGTCGCTCTTGAGTTGTACCTGCGGGTCAAGAGGATGCAGGGATTTAGCTACCAGGGTACGACCTCCATCACTGCACTTAGCGCAGTTTATGAAATGGGAAAAACGCAACGGCTAACTGCAGAAGTTTCAGGCCAGCCGACCTATGACCTTGTGGGGTTCCACTGGTCCCCATAATAGCCTATGAGTCATAGTCTATAGATAACCCAGAACATGGGAGGATTACTGGGGGCTGAATTCTTCACATTGAGTAACATAGTGTGCACTATGTGTCAAGCGTGCCTTGGGGGAAGGGAGGCTAGTCTGCAGTATGGGTACTAGAAAGTTTAAAATAGGTTTGGGTGGCCTGATTGGGGATTCCTCTTTAGGATAAGCTCACCGGCTTATCCTCACTTGCAGTTTTGAGTTGACTCCACTATGCCATATTAAACCTGTCTCCCTCTCAGCTTTGGCCTTCCCTGCATCATTCTTGCCAGCCAACTCTTGCCAACAGTAGGATAAAACGTACCACAGGCCTCTTTCCACCCTTGCAGTACTCCCAGTGCCGCCACCCTCAATAAGCCAGTATAAGTGGGCACCAAAACTGTCTGCGTGCTTCATAAGCACTTCAAGTAGAACTCTGTCTGCAATGTTGGCCTTCCTCAACAATGCCAACAGCTATTTCTCAGTCAGATTTTGTTTCCTTTCATTAATAATTCTTCAGCATTTATGTGCAAAACTCGAGATTCACGCTAATTATTTTAAAGAACTTTTCAGTGATGATTGGTGTTTGATTACTGAAAAGTGCACTAAACTTTCAGATGATTGCATCACTGCCTTGGACAGACAGATTCCCAACAAAACAAATGTCAACAAAACATCTATCCACACTTCTGGTGCACTATGGGAAAAAAACTTCTGTTACTATATTTGTTTTTAAGTATACATCTTGAAGGAGTCTTTAAAAAAATTGGTTTTGGATAAACGATAACAAATGTTAAGAGATCAAAGTCTCAGGATTTTAGGTTTTGGTTTATGGACGAATGCTAAAACCTTTATTTAGGAGAAAAAAAACATTTGGGGTTTAAAGAGCTCCGTACAATATAAACCCCAAAGCCGTCACACAGCTGGATTACCATTACTGCCCGTGCTTACTATGTGGAAACTTACCCCCAAATAGATTTAACCTGGAACTGGACCAGGGTATTACTTTGCGAAAACAAGACGAACAAAACTAATCCGCACAAGTTATTATACATAATTTTAACCTTTAATATAACATCTCATTCAATGAATACTCCGTCCTTACTGATTTTCTTTTATTAAGTTCTTTTTTCAATTCCCTATAGTTAAATATCACCATAATTATTTCAATCAGTCAACTATGAAGTAGCTCAAGTTTTTAACACTGCAGGAAGCTTAATTTCTGTCACTAAATGCTGCAGTAGCCCTTTGGCTATGTAATTTTCAAGGAGTCTAGACACACCATGTTTTTATGTCAAGATAGCTAAAGCACAATTTTTTTTAAAATCATTTACCCTGTATTAAATGCGATATGGGTCATTGCTTTTGTTTGTCTGCAGACCAGTGCACAGGACAAAGGCAGCTTTTCTTGTATTGCATTTAAAATTAGGTTACAAGAAATTGCACCCACAAACACTGAAAATCTTTCACACATTTCAAATCCTTCTAATAAAGCCTCCGTTTTTACATTAAACGCTATAATGCTGATCATTAAGTTGACATCATGACACCTTTCTGAGTAAGTGTTTGAGAACCCTAAGGCTTTGGCAATGCATTACAGAGCCGGCAGCCGCACAGATGGAGAGAATGAAATATCTTACCAGTTCCACCCGGCCGAAGCCTCCCACTCCTAAAGTGTCGATGATGTTGAAGTCGACAAGCTTCAGGTTGGAGAAGAAGGCATTCTCCGCTTCGTACCTGCATTTTGTCAGGTGGAAAAAAGGAAACTTCTTAGAAGCGTGGACAAAGTAATTGATATGGAGGGACAAGGCTTGGAAGGGGGAGGGCTGGCTGTCCAGCCGCTCTTTCTTCTTCCGCACCTTCTCGGTAACCAACTCGTGCATCTCCCCCCCTTTCGCTCTTACTGGTCCAAGAATAATAGTGTAAACGTGTGCACTGGTCCACTGGGACAGGTCCGTATGGTGCCCAAGTCACAGTACGGCAAGATCCGTGTTCATAAGGTCACTCTCCGACGTGAAAGTAAAGATCTTATCTCCTCGATGAAGGTGCAACAGCTATGCCTTCTGCACTTTACATTTTGATAGCCTTTTGCAAGGTGTAACAGAGAACTTTCCAACCCCTTGAGCCTGCCTTCATCAAAAGCACGTCCAGTGAGGCTTTCCAGTTTTCTGAAGCAGAACCCCTTGAGACTGAGCTAAGACCAAATCAGCGTTCCATTCCGTCGGTAGCTAAGGTCTAAGTCCCCCCCCTGGGCCAGCTGGTCTGCTGCAGAGGGCCCCCCAGAGCTGTTTGAGTGGGTCTGATGTCAGCCTGAAGTTTGCAGAGCATGGGGTTAACCTCACTACCAAAATACAAGCACGAGTGTTTCCCTGGAAGCCCCCCCCCCCCCCCCATCTCTACAAATACTGCCCAGCTGGAGCCGTAGATATTTTTAGCATCTGGGCGACCTTGTTTGCATAACTACACACCTCGAAGGACACACTGCAAAAAAGGCCTTGTGTGCAGGCTACCTGTTCATAATCACGACACACTTCATTTTTTTTTCCCCGCCGGGCAACATCGCTAAGTCACCTACTGGAGTCTCTTTCTTTCCCATACGTGAAAGTAGAATCTTCTGTAACAAAAGCTCCATTCATCCATCTTAAAAACCACTTATCCAGAAAGGATCGGGCTACCCTGAAGAGCTGGGCATGACAATTTGTTTGGTTTACATTAAAAATTAATGCTTTACCTTTCATATGCATTTCAGCTGCTGGGCAGAACCATTAACGTGATGCACATGTGATTTCACACAAGAGAGCGGCTAAGGGACAATTCTGCACCATTACACTCTTTGAAAGAGGATGGCAGCCAGGACGCAGTTTAATTACCCACTTACTGTTACTGAAGGCCGTATGATCACTGCCACACCTGTCTCATCTTTTCCCGGCCTATGTAATTATCGCCTTTACATCTGTGTTCGGAGTGTCTCCGAGATTAGATTAGTAGGTGGGGGCTTTTGTGACGGTGTTTTAGTTGGCACCACAGCAGCGGGGTGGCGGGCGGGGGGTGTCCTCTCAGGGACATCAAGAAGAGATGAACAAAGAAGCGGAAGGTATCTGTGTAAAAGGTACAGCTCTGGAAAATTGCCCTTGCACCATCCAGACCAAACAGGATGCCACTTACCCCCCCCCCCCACCAGCGCCTTGGCTGCTCTGGAGAAACTGACACCAGACTGTGTTCCCATCACGCCTCTCCGAGACGGCTGAATCGGCTACGAGGGTGACTTGGCCAAGGCGAGATGCCGACCTGCCTGGCAGCCGGCCTTAATGACCTCGACGGGACTGAGCCGAAACACTGCAGGTTATGAGGAACGGCTTACGCTACGTGAAGTGGGCCGCCTCACAGAGCGCAGCCTTAATTGGACCTGCACTCTACCTTGTCCAGGGTTCAAAACCATTATCCTCTGGCCACACTCTGGTGAAGAATGCACTACACCTGCTTCATGTTTCACAAGCCGGGCATTCTTCAGGCAGCTGGAAAATGATCGTGTCACACCACTGGTTTCCCAAAAGGGGGCAAAAAGCAATTTACAGGCAGTGTCCAGGCCCAATATGGCACAGTGTGGACATGTGACAGGAAACTCTTCAGCTGAATCTATTATGACCACCAAGATGTTTTACTGTCAAGCCAAAGATTCGAGCTGGTTCTGCTAAATGCGCCATTAACGTCACCAAAATCGTGAGGTACTCTGCATATTTTATTTCCCAGGAATTTTATTTTCCCTGTTTGTTTATGATCCCCGGGTTGCCAGCTAGTGCCCTGGGAGGTGACACCTGACATCCTGTCTCCACTCTGACTCCTTAAGTGGAAAAGGGGAGCAGGGCACAGTGTGACATGACCAGTGAGATCTGTGGGCTGTTGACAGGCGATACGGTGAGGCTGGCGTCCAGTGGAAGGCATGTTGCTGATCCAAGATACGACAGAATTTTTTCCACTGAGTGTGCCAGACTTCTCCATTCAAGCACAGACATATGTGTGTAGAATTTCAGGGCTTTCACTTGCAAAAGGTGACAGCATGAGGGCATCAAGAGTTATAGCACAAGATTTTAGGCTGAAATGCCACGGGGGTCCGATAGCAGTTCATTTGCTACTATTCACTACTTAATTCCCAACACAGGTGACATTATCTATAGATATATTGCATTCAGTGTATTGTGTGATATGAATAAGACATGGGAAGTATGACCGTAGCGGTAAACATGACCACAGCATCCGTCAGCTAATGACATCAAAGAAATTTGCCCTGAAGTTTATAAATATGAAACTTCGGCATAATCGTTGTTGATTTCCTGAGCAAATTCCCCTATCAGAGGGTGCAGGGCAGTAATTCTAAAACCACAGTGGCTGTAGACCTCCCACCTGAAAGCTTCCGCTTTAACGATCCCTGCATGTTTAACTGTAACAGATAACGGCAATGGCAGAATCGGTTCGGGCCCCTTCCTGGCCAACACCAGCAGAGAGATGGAAAAAAGTGGGAGCTGAAGGGGTCGGCCAGGTAGTGATTCAGAGGGCAACAGCTCATCCTGTTTTAACTCTACAAGACAAGCCCTAAAGAAAACAGAGTGCAAGACATGTTAATTCCAGCCACAGGCGATACAGGAAATCCACCCGAGCTCCAATATCTCTCCTCTTTAGCTGCTTAGGGCAGCGTTTCCCAATCCGGTCCTTGGGGACCCGCAGTCGGTCCATGTTTATGCTCCCTCCCAGACAGTCCACATTTATGCTCCCTCCCAACTCCCAGCAAAAACATGGGACTGTCTGTGGGTCCCCGAGGACCGGACTGGGAAACACTGGCTTGGGGTAATGTTAGGGCTGTGACAGCAAGCGAACCGATCACAAGGTGTCAAGGTGTCATAGTCTTAATTAATGAAAATCTATGATTGACTTACAGATCACTTTATCTCTCATAATACAGATTTAATGAAATAATATATTCAGTGTTCCATTCCATTTTAATTTTTTTTTTTTTTGGGGGGGGGGGGGGTGTTAATTAAATTTCCCTCTAATATAGCTGCCAACAGGCAATAAAAATACTGGCAATACAATATATATATATATATATATATATATGTGTATATAAAACGTTTCAACATTGTAACAATAAATTATGTTTTTAAAGTATTTTGTTCATATAGTCATGTTTTGGTGGCTGGCATTACAGTTGCATTCTAAATAAGTTTCAAACTCAGTGTTCAATGGGAAGAATAGACATTAGTAACAGTCTGTCAAACAGCTGCAGTTACCCCTCTGGAGAACCTCGACTGTTTGGTATAACGCCACAGCAGCACGAGACTGCACAGTAGCACAGCTTTTCTGTGGGATCACTATTTTGTTGACAGGCCTTTAATCCCAAAGCAATTGCTGCAGTTCAGATTCTTCATGCGCAGTCACTTCACACTAAATTCAGCACGTCATAGTCTATACTTCTTTCTGTGAAAATGACAGGAGGGTGATTATTATTACAAAACAGTGTCTAAAAAAACTAAACGATAGGTAAACAGAAGGCCTGTATTAGCTGCTGACGATCGCATAAGGTTTGGGGCTTTTTGAGAAAATGGGTGATTTGAATTTCGTGGGAAAACATCATGTTTCATTTTGTGTATCCACAAAAACATGTTTGTTAATACAGTTGGTAGATGCCCCTGGACTGTTGTTGTGGCTGATTTAGCTGGGAATCACAGCAACAAAAAAAAAATCTCTCTTTCGTTCTTCTGTGTCTTTCGTTCTTCCACATCTTCCACCTAATCCTCTGTCATAGGTTATCACTTCTTAAAGCGCCAGACCAAGTTGCAGTGAATCAAAACGCCAAGAGACTGTAATTTCAGAAGGCAGACATTTCCCACTCATTTTTATGATCGTCTGAGTAATATTCTCATAAAATCCTAAATTTAATTTAATTGCTATTTGGAAAATGACATTCAGGTGGGTCACCTGAGCGCCGTCTTTAGCTCCACGCAATAGGACTGTAAGGTTTGGGTCCTACCCTCCAGCCAATCTCAACCTTGCTCCCTCTACCTGGCTCCTGTGGGAACTGCATCGAAAACAAAAGTGTTCTGGCTTTGCTTGACATTCCAGCGCTCCTTCCATTTTTCCAGAGTCAATTTGAAACACACTGCTTAAACATTTTCCTATATCATTTTTTTTTTACATACAAACAAATCCAGAATAAAAACCGTCCTCTTTCTGATTGAAAACATACCTGACCTTGTCAATATGCCCCAAACCGTCAGAAAGAATCCAGCCCCTGAATGGGAGACTGAGGATAAAAATAATCATAAGTAAGATTGTATTTCTCCAGTCATCAGGGACGTTTCATTGTGTCATGCTCATTTTGACGGCTCGCACCGCACGATTTCCGTCCAGCATAAAAAAACTCCAGCCATGAATTAACAGTGGTCACATTACAAGAATTACGTAACACCAAAAAGCTTGTTCCCATGTAGCACGGAAATGCATCAAAAGTGCATTGGTACGTCTTCGGCTCCATCCAGCGGGAGGCACTGTAACTTGCAGATACCAGGAAGAATCGTTCTCAGAATGGAGGGGGGGTGGGGTGACCTGCCAGACAATACCAAATTAAGTGAGGCATGACCCAAAGTCACCCTCGATGGTAGGGTCTCCCACGCAGCTGCGTGTCCATGCCGTTAACAGCTAGCACGTAGGCATTCACCCAGATTCAACTCTCAGCTTCGCGGGCAACGAGTTCGAATCGCCGGGGCCAGAGATCGGTCCAGGTACCGACCAGCGGGCGACTGTGGGAGGCATCGGACGCCGACTGTCGGTGCCCAGAGGGAGCCTGGAATACATCTCGTGTGTAAACAAAGCAGCGCCCCATCTTTGTGTCGTGACCTTAACATAAGCTCATACATAAGTTCTCGGGGACCATTACCTCGCTGCAAGTGGAAATTAGGCAAACAGAAAATAAAGCCCACGACCTTTCTTTTCAAAGGCTGGCTTTCAACAGGTAGGTGAGGGATTTCACTTCTGATGGCTGATTTTTTTTCTTTGCTTCTATCTGCATACAGATATGAAATTTATACACAGCCGGCCCATCAGTACACATCTGAAAGTCAGACCACGATCTTCACCAAAGTTCTTATTGGCGTTGAGTGCGATAGCGATCATGGCAGACGGAATGTGTCTATTGGGGTGGATTCAGGGAACTTTGGTTTTTGTGCGGTGAATGCTGCACGCAGTCTTGCACCAGTTCATACCAGTTAGAATCCTAAAAAGGGAATGAAATGCTCCGTCTCAGGGCTCTGTTTACATAAAGGTAGCTGGAGGGGGGGTGACTGGCTGGAATGTTTCACTGGGAGCATAGCGGATGTCGTGCCGTAAATCCAAAGACTTATAAATGTTGGTTTTAATGAAGCTATTTCGGCTGACTTGCTTTGCGGCAGAGGACACATTCTCCATCTGCAGGTTGGTGCGAAATAGCGCGTCCTCTTTTTTTTTTTTTTTTTTTTTAACACGCCGTTTATGGCGACAGAAAAACCCCAAAGCGTTAGTAAAGGCGGAAAGCTGGGAGACGCAGTGGATACAGGTCGTGGCAGACAAGTGTGTAAACATGGCATAGCTCATTAGTGCAAAACCCTCAGTCTTTCATGGTTTGTATTCGACATGTCAACTTCTCTCCCCCCCCACCACCCGCTGTGACCCTCCTGCCCCTACTCCTGCCTCTGCCAGTAGTGCTCACTCCATAAAGATTTAAGTGTGCACTGTTTGCTTAGGCAACACATTTAAATACACCACCCCTTGTGAATTTATTTTGGCACAAGTGCCTGCTTGTCATGGCAGCTAACAGTTGCTGATGACAACAAACTGGTTGCAAAAGAATTGAGACCGATGTTCAAACGGACCCCTAAAAATCACAATAATGACCTGGACATATAATAAATCTAAAATAAATTATAATAAAACTATTTTGCCTGAATTCAAGTTTAATTATTTAATTCATTTCCTTTATTTTTGATTCCGGCATATTTGTTACAGTGATTCTTACATGAGACATTATTCGTGAATAATACATAAGATTTATTGCGATACATTAAACCACCAGCAGATGGAGCACGTGAACTACAGCACGATTGGAAACCTCTGTTCCAGTTGTATTAGACAGGTAACACGTTCTTATAATAAAACCTACTTTTAAAAGCACATAAAAAGACAATTATTTCTGCATAGTATTTTTTTTTTCCAATTCTGAGAACAGATGATTTTTTTTGTCCTAAAATTTTCAAAAAATCAGGATATTTCAGAATTAAAAGAAGGACGTCACAGTACGTGGTGTCCATCTGCCGACTAAAGGTCCCTTGTAACTTCATAAATAGTTTGAGCTTGCGAGTATACATAGTCACCAGCACATTATAAGCAATACTGATTATTTGTGGACTTAGCTAGTCACTGTGGTGGTTCAATGGCATATCAATGACAGGAAGTGAGACTACCAATTTAGAAGATTAAAACAAAGATTAGACTAAAGATTAAAATGAAAAGCCAGAGAAAGAGTCAGGAGACAGGTCAAAAAGTAAATACCTAATCGACTTCATGGCGATTTCATTTCAAACTTCACAAATATGGTCAATGCCAATTCTGAATGGATTTAATTTATATTTGAGCATATTATGATATTAATATATTAAAATTAAAATATATTAATACATTGACCTCCTGAATCTTGTCCTTTTGACTAAAACAAGCAGTGAAAGTCAGGAAGACATCAAAGAGTAGATATAAGAAGGTATAGATAGAAGAGTCACTGATGGAAATCGTATTCAAGTCTTCTGCAATTCCCTGCTTTGAGAGAAAAAGTCACAGTTTAATTGTTTGTATTTCTGACTAATCGAGCACAGAAGCTGTAGCGAAGAGCTGCACGTGCTAGCTGGATGAGGGGGCATGCGAGGTATAAGCGCGCGCAGATCGCTCATCCATCTGTCATAACCGCTTAGCCGGTAGGGGGCGCCTTTCCCAGGAAGAACATAACAGGAGACCATCGCACGCACTGACACACTAACGGTAATCTGGGGACACCAATGCACCTAACCATCTATCTGTGGACTGATGAATGACATTTTTAATAGATCATGAAAACAATGAAAACATATGAGTTCTATTGATTGCAGTGTTGCACACTGGGTAAAATATACTGATCATTTAAAGTACTTCAGCAATGTTATGGAACAGTTATTTGACACTTTTTGGGAAGGAATTTGGTTGAGGGAAAAGCAAACTTATAACAGCAGGAATGCAGCAGCAGACATCAACACTGAAATTAACCCAAAACAGTCTCATGATTTTAGCTTTCGCTCAGACAAATGACACTGCTGGTATAAGCCTTACTTTCTAACATAAAACCCCCCTACTAGGACATATACATGGAGTCAAAGAGTGTAAAATCGGTGTAGACACGCTTTTTAAAGGAATCAAGGCGGGCAACAGAGTTCCTGAATCATTTCTACAAAGTGCATTCATCTCTTTTTATGACCTGCCAGCTTGTTCGTGGACTCCAATAGTTACTTACAGTACTAATAACAAAACTAACAGTGTCATACTGTTTCCTCATGTGAAATCAACTCGCCAGTGTCTGAAGAATATTATTGCATAGAACCACCGTTGTGATTTGACATTCAAACCAGGAGTGAGTTTAAGAGAGTACAACTCAAAATCAGGTTGACTGGAATTGTACAGTAAACAAGTTATTATGTAGCTGCAAAGGGGAAACGATGAATGCAATTCCAAAATGTCTGATACGTTTTTTTTTTTTTTTTTTTTTTTTAGAGGAATGTCCTTCTTCCAAAACAAGTTAGTTTTGCAAGACATCTTAGTCTCGTTTAAGCCTAACAATTTAACAGGAGCTTCATTAGTGCATAAAACTGCTGTTTTTGATTGGGGGGGGGGGTGCATGTTGGGATTCAGCTAACTGATCCCTGACGCCAAAACTCAGTTGATGCAGAACTAACTGGGAGCACTAGAAAATGGCTCTGCCGAGATTATAATGACCTGACTGAAAGCTAATCGGAGGAGCGAGATCTGCAGTGTTTTTCTGATGGGAACGGAAAAGGCGGAATTGACTGAGTGCATATTCCTGAGCGGCGAAACAAAGCTGCAGCACACGGATAGCTGGTGCTCTAATGACTGGGTTTTGTAAACGGCTCTTGCCCGTGTGATAATGAGTCTCCTTTCTAAGGCTCTGACCAGCTGCGGTAAACACCCATCACTGCGCGAGGCTCAGTGCGTTCCAGCAAAGTCAGGGGGTCTGATCTGCCGACATTCAAGGGCAGCCCTGTAATCAGAAACTCCCTCAGGCCACGCTTGGCTTTCTGTAGCGAGGCCCAGCCTTGGGTAGCTCGCAGTGGGAGCTCAGGGGGGGGACTGAGGTGGTGTTCCCTGACAGTAACCCCCCCCCCCCCCCCCCCATCTCTGATTACTCTAAGCTTTGCTGCCTCTTTTTCCGCACTCATCTCAGCCCCTTCTTTCATGGAGGTGTGTACCTCAGGCTTACAATTCACCGAGCTGGGGAGACGTCCCCTGTGCACAGCGCATGAAGCAGCCTCTATTTCCAACACACTGGCCGTCGTGGTCTGCTAGGGGTCTGCTCGTATTTTGAACGGCTACATAATCAGCATCTGCTATTGATTATACTATTAGCAATTTCCAAGTATCTGAGTTTACTGTACTCAAGGGTGTTTCTAGGTTTATTTTTAAGGTAGGGAGCATATACGGGGCCATAATTCATATGGGGGGGGGCCTAACTTTATCATTAGCCAATGATATGTTTTGAATCGGTGAGTGACATGGGAAGGCTACTTCAGAAGCCAATCAGCTTTCAGCTGAGGCTAGTGGCCCCGCCCCAGCATACATCCTTGAATCCATTGTATGCTCAACCGGTTGGCGTGATGTTCACCCAGAGTAACTTACTTTGCCTTGGCGCCAGCGTCCTCGTACCCTTTGTTAGAGACATCTTCCAACCCCCCAATCAAGTGCTTGAAAGAACTGAAAGGAAAGGAAAATAAGAAATGGTAAAATACGTTAGTTCCACGTTAGTCCTAATATAAATGCCTTCAACTGACATTTATTAGAGACAAGAACAAAGAGTAAATTACAGCAATACTTTTCATAAATTCACATCTTCTATGATACTTGAATGAATATGGTAATGAATATATAACACCCACGCATGACAGACGTTTGTACATCCTGTAAAAATGCATAAAAGTGCAAAAACTTTAGACATATTACACTCAGGTATATATTTTATGTATTAAATACCAGTTCTTCCTACTGTAAACCATGCAGTGATATACTACAGTATATTGTACATTACTGCATCTGTATGTGGAATTAAAAAGAAAACTTGAAAGAAAGAGTAATATAACTGCTTTTATTTATTATCGTTCTAATTGGCTTTATCTCAGTGTCGTATCTCAGGGGGTTTAAGCAATAAAAAGGGGAAGCCCTATCACTGAGATCTTGCTAGTATAGAAATTAGCATGAACTGAAGGTGAGTGATGAGGATGAGCAGAGAAGACTTTAATGAGGGGCACGGAGAGGCTCCCTAGTTCGCTGTCGCCGCGCGGAGGGGCTCCCTAGCTCGCTGTCGCCGCGCGGAGGGGCTCCCTAGCTCGCTGTCGGCGCGCGTAGGGGCTCCCTAGCTCGCTGTCGGCGCGCGTAGGGGCTCCCTAGCTCGCTGTCGGCGCGCGTAGGGGCTCCCTAGCTCGCTGTCGCCGCGCGGAGGGGCTCCCTAGCTTGCTGTCGCTCGCTCTTGCCGCAAGATGGGAGCATCTGCGCATAAATCAAATTTTCAGTACTTCTTAATGTTTTTGCCCGGAACTGAATACATAAAGTTGAAGTTAAATGCATATAGGTTGCAACATGAATGTATTACATCAGAGTGCAGCGACCTTAGGACATTTCCAGGTATTCCTCATTACTTTAAAGCAAAATAAGTTCTGAGGACCATGAATGCCAATGTTGCAGACGGCCCTGGGGCCAAACCTAGTATGTCCATCCCCTTACACATTCAGGAAGGGGGCCCTGTGGGGAGCGGCATCGCACCATGTGTCACATACCACAGCAGAGCGGAGGCTAACTTTATCATTAGCCAATGAAATGTTTCGAATCGGTGAATGACAGAGGAGGGGCACTTCAGGAGCCAATCAGCTGAGGCCAGTGGTCCTGTGGCCCCGCCCCTGTATACCTCCTTGACTGTATTATTGTGTGCTCAACCGCTTCATCCACAGTAACTTCAGCATTTCAGCAACGAGGATAGGTCAGGGTGTCTGCAAATGCCCCCCCCTTAAAAGCTGGAGTGTGATTTGCTGTGTTCCCCTTGCCAGCTGCAGCAGCAGTATCTGTGCCAGCCCAGGCTCCAGGGAACAGCCTGCGTGTCTCTCCACTGGATGGTCACCCTGTGCCGGTCCACCCACACTCCCACACCTACCCGGTTTATCACCGCCAGCTTTTAGCTGCCATCTCTGAATTATGCCTCTTAAACGCGCTCAGTGAGCACACAATAGTGATGTAATCGCCCCATTATCGGCTGCCGTGTAAGCTGACTGTCATTAAGCTGCTTCTTCAGGATACATGTGATCATAAATATCAAAAACTGCGCGTCGGGCTTTAGAGTTTTAAGAGGCTGCAAGCTTCTCCTTATAACTTCATTTGAGACTCAGTTTCTGTCCTATTTCTTAACAAATGGGCAATGCACGTAATTATGAATAAATAACAGATAAAAACCTGGTTTATATGGTGGCTTTAAACATCTGCTAGTGCTTTTGGTATCTAAATAGTTAAATCACAAGGCAAAAATTTAAATATATTTTATACTGAATATACACTCGGTGTACATTTCATTAAGTGCAGCTACCTAAAACCAGGACCCACATTTTCCTCCAGAACCATTTCAAACTCGCTGTTTGCAAGCAGGTGTATCTAATAGAGTGGCCATTGAATGTACATATTTTATTTTATTGTTCATGCGCTATAACCATAAATTTAGACAGCTTGTATTGCTGTCACAGACATATTATTGTCAACAAAATTATTATTTTGGACGTTCTGCTGTTTGTGATATCATTGTAACCGGAACAAGTCGCCCTAGATTCCCTCAGCAAATAAATTTCGTTCAATAATAGCAATGAATTTGGGTTAAGGTGTCCACGGGCCTTGAACAGTTGACAGTGCTGGCAGCCGCTGTAATCCTCCCGCTGAAATGCTCCCGTGACAACGGGGGATAAAATACTGCGAATGCCAATCCTATAAAGTCCCTTCACTCATGTATGAAGGCCTTCATCTCGCTTGTCAGGAAGAAAATAAAAATAAAGCGAGCGCCGTTCGCCTGTCTCCCGCTGAGCACCGTCCCCCTATCGCGTCCGAGCCGCATTTCTCCCGCTTCCCGTGGATCTTGCGCCCCCATCTGGCCACGAATGAAAAGGCTGGGATTCAAGTGTGGCGAGTGACGTCACGAAAGCGGTGCGGCGGGTGAAAGCAGGGGGTCCCCTAATGAGAGAGGTCGTAAAACTTTCAGCCGCGCGCGGCGATTAAACGGCCGGTTTCCCCGCCGAGTAGCGGGATCGCTTTTTAATGCCGCCATCCAGAACATTTGCGGTCTCCTACCCACCACAAGCAGCCCATCAATTCACACCCCGCTGTCACACTGCGCGCTTCTTCTTGGAAGCCGTAAGCTGGGGGGATTTATGCAAAAACGAAGCGAATTTAATGAATCTGAATTTGAACTGCGCAGCCTCGGAAACTGGATAGGTGCAGTGTTGTAACTTAAAATCGTGTTGCATAACGAAAATGAAGCTCATTACAATTCACGGGAAAACAATCTTATTTCAAGATTAATTTCTCAAATGAACAATTTAATGCTCAGTATTATAAATTTAGTGTTGTAATAAAAGGGCATGCATTTAGTTTATGCCTGAGATGTGCAAAGTTGAGGTAAAATGTATAATTTAATGAATGGTTATAGCTTATGGCTTTAATGAATAGTTATGGCTGCATTAAAGGCTTCAATTCCTCTTACACTGAAGAGTGTGACTGGTTCCTCTCACCCTCACAACAGACGGCAAACTGCTGCATAGATTTCTCCCAGTGCAGCCGCTAATATTGTTGGCTTGAAGAACCTTGATTATACCTCTTATCACTTCACACTTCCGAGGAGCAAGTAGGCCTATCCGATTAATGCATTTCTGGGATTTTCACTAAGTCACTGACCTGAAATTTCAAGTGTTGAATCTGACCGCTGAATTATTCATTTGAAGAACAAATTGTTAAATATTAATCTTATTTTGCCATGGATTAATTCAAGTTGGCCGACCAAAATCCACTCATTTGAAGATGACTTATTAAGGTTATGTAATTTGGAGTTAGTGGATATAAATTTAATTTGCGCATCCAGTGATCCGAAGAGTGTAATACAATCTTAGTTTCCTTAACTTCAGATTCAGATCCCACACCAGCAAACTCAAATGAGGTGAGAGGGTTGGTATCAGCCTGATAATGACATGAAGCTTGGCGGCGTAATTCATACAATTTAAGGAGGCCACAAAAGACTACTGTGTAAGTCACTGTTTTCGACGTACTTTTACTGATATGATAATTACTTACTGAACTATAGTTATATATCATCAGATATAGTTATTGGGGGAAGGGGGGTACCTCACTAATATTCCACCCAGATATTTGTCCTCAGCTGAAGTTGGGTGCAGCAGTAAATTACTCTTACAATCTTGCGAATTAATAATCCATATTAACCTCAAGATTAATAAGGATTAGTTCCCAGCAGATGTTAATGAAACACAGAGGAGTGAATAGTGCTCAACAAGACAAACAGTAAACCTAAAATGCTTTGGTGAGCAACAGTTCGTCCTTAAAGATCTCAGATCAGCTGCGTTCATGAGAATGAACAGTGGACGCGAGCAGAGCCGGCCAGACAGGTTACTCACTCTCTGTCGATAACCAGGCAAGTGACAGGCTCTGCCGCGATGACATTGGCGGTCCGGATGTCCTCCCTGTGGACAAACCAAGAAGAGAGATAGGCAGTCATTCTTCTGTCGTACTACTCAAATTTTAATTGAGGAGCATCAGTCCAGAAATTGTTTGTTTGGATAAAGGCACCATTTCCACAAAGCTGAACTGTTTTTTTTCTTTAAATATATATATAGAAAGGTTAGTTACTGCGACAGAAACTACCAGCTAATGATAAAATGGATGGAAGATGATGCTTAGCATGATGCAAGATGATGAAACCTTTTCTTCTTGTGACCAATAAGGCATCTTCTTGGTGTGATGACCATGTTAGGATTCACTGAACGAGTGAAAGTAATAAAAATGTTTAGAAAACAGGAGAATCTTATTGCAAATGACTATCCCTTTTAACGTAAAGCAGTCAACAATGTTACTTGATCATCACGTCAAAACTCAATTGAGTGTATTATGCTACATGATAATGTACAGTTAAAAACATATGTCTTAAAGAACTCGAGGCAAGCAAGCTTCTTGCTTCTTCAAGCAGTGTGCAATCCCGTAGCTAAGGTAGTCATCGCTTCTCTAATTTGGAATTAAGTAAATCGTTGACGGGTATTACTCTGTACAGTTGTCTATGTCATCATCTTCGGTTAATTCTGACCAGGAACCGACCCGGCTGCGGGATTCTGTGTCGGATTCCGCGGAGTCCATTGGCGACTAGAAGCCCAATCCGGGGAAGCTTCCATGCGCTGTGAGCACTGCACACTCAGCCTGGCTGTTTTCCTTGCAGGGGTCTGGGGGAAAGACGGATTCTCCGCCCTGCGCTTCCTAAAAGGTTACACGGGCTGGCAGGGGGCCTTACGGGGACCCGAGAGCGAGCGGGCACACGAGGGCATGCTAAAGTGGAAGGTCCCCGCAAGTGACGCGTCCGCGCGGGCATACCGCGAGGCGGGCACCATCCCCTGGGCAGCAGATCGCTCTCACCGGTTGTCACAGCAATCAGAATGAGGCTCGCTCACCCAGGCAGATAACACCAGCACCTGCTACTCGTGAAAAACGGCCACGTGCCAGGGAAGGGGTATTCGCTCTCAACTGCCATCTGCAAAGGATTTCTGGCACGAAGAAAACAAGTTGTGTCTTTCAGGAATTAATATATGTTTGTTTAAGATATTCGGGTAAGATTTAATCTCCGACAAAAAAAACATTATACTTCTAGTTTTGCAAAATGAAATAAATTAGTTTACAAGTGCAATTTCATCTCCCGTTAATCTCTAAAGACAGTTTGCAATTGAAAAGCTAATCAGATAAATTCTTTCCAGCACTGATATTGAATAGGGGCAGTAGCTTGCCTCAGCACAGTATACTCAAATGCCTATTTTATTTCACTGACCCAACACATTGATTTGGCTTCCTTCATGTGCACATGGGTTGACAGTAACGTAAATTAAAGTCTATGCTTGAGCACCAGAAATGGGTTTTGCAATTTGTTTTGGCTAGATAAGGAGTCACCAACCTACTGCACATGGAGTTTTACCCCCTTACTGCCTTATTAAGTTTGCAACTAGTTTCCAGTTTGGAATTTAGTGAATGAAACATTGTATGTGCTGAGGTCCTCCTGAAAGACCAAGGGACATGCTGAGGGTTGGTGGGGGGCGGGGGTAATCGGGGGCGCCTGGCCCCTTTGCATGAATTTTAAAGTTTATTAAAATTTATTAATTAATTAATTATTAATTAATCGCAGACGATCGCGCAAATTTTTACCGAGGGGGAGCACCTGCCCTACCCTCCCCCACGCTAGAAAACTTCACTGGTCTATCACCTGCTCCTTGAAAAGTCTCTACATGGCCCTACACATTAGTACACGTAACATGGATGAACCCTGCTTGGTCTTCATTCAGAAAAATCATCCGGAAGAATTACCCAAAACAGCACAAACTATATTCCCTTTGAAGACTGGAAGATGAGATGAAACTTCAGTCGCACGCTGGTCATATGAATGTGTCCTACACCTGTGATTTTATTATCCAATATTACCTGTATAACCTAAGAGCTGGACATTTTTGCGTTACCGTTTAAAGCGACGTGGTACTGGGTGATCAGAATGACATCAGAATGAGTGTTCATAACCTATATCACACCAAATTACAAATCTCTACCTGACGAATGATCATTAACTAAAACATTTAATTGGTCAATCAGCGCTGCTTTCGACCACGTCCAGAGGCTGCTGCTATGTCTGTGTGCCTGGTCACTGCTGACAAGCTTGATCGTTTCACACCAAAGTCTCCCTTCTGGCTATAGTCACTTGGAACTCATCTGCCTTTTGTTTAAAGCTCATGGCGTTGCATTTCTGTAGAGTCCTTTATTCAGCGACTGAATTTACACATTAAAAATGTCACGATCTACTTTTAGAACAGCTCTCTCACCATGGAAACCAGGGTATACTGCCTTGCCTTGCATTTTAAATAAACCACCCTGAAACGACCTGCTTTGCTGCTCATATGAAGCCGATAAGCAACAAGCAATGATGAATTGATTTATCGTAATGGGACGTGAGTGACTCCAGGTGAGGAGGCCTCGATTGTGGCATGTTTCGAGGTTGATCGTGGGATGATTAATGGAAAATTCTTTATTTCATTGGTGACCAACCGGTCAATGGCGATTGCCAAAGCATCTGAAGGCTCACCACCAACCTATTTGGCAAAATATACAGAGGGAACCCCCCTCCCTGGCCAGCAGAAAAATATACCATAACGACTCAGTAGCTAGAGTACTTTATAGGTAAATGTAGATCTCATTGTTAAAATCGGTTGGGCCATTAAGGATCCCTGGTTATGTAACTTTTATGTTTGGAAATCCTGTTTACAAATCATTAATTAGACACAATGGCCTTAGTTAAGGAAGAGCTTAATCGGGTGCAAAGGCTAGCTCATACCAGTGACTGAATGAACTTTAAGGACTGGGCTAAAAACGTGGGGTGTTTCTTACCAAAAAGTGTATCAGCATACCCAATCTGTAAGCACTAATACTGCTGGCAGTGGCTCTGATCCTAATGGCTGGGTACTATATACATTCCCTCCTAGTATAGATGAGTATAGATGCATTGTAAATGATATCGAAGTATCGGCCAGGAAAGTAGATGACCCCAGACTCAGCACTGCGGATGCACACCATGAATTTAACAGCATGTCCTCCGTCACGCAACGTCAACTGAAGCACACGCCTCAGACCCCACAAAGGCAAACAGACCCGTGTCTGTCAAAAAAAAGCAGAGCCTGCATGCTGCTAGAATTTTACTATGAAGTGAGAACCTCAAATCGGACTGCCTCCATCCAGGACGGGAACCTCGATGATGCAATCCCTTCTGACTTAAAGCCGGTCGTGTAAGGCCACGACCAACATCAAGCTTCAATGGCTTCAATGGCTTACGGCAGGATGATATATGCACTGCGATAAATAGAAAACCTACTGTACACATCTAAGGGAATTTATGGAGTACCAGCCGAAAGGAGATAGGGCAGAAGCGGCTCGTACTGACAGCTTAATCCAGACAACTGCCTCTTCAAAACCAATCATATTAACGGTAAATGTTCTCTGAATCGAAAAGGGCAAGATTGTCAACCGGATAAAGTAAAAGCTAAGAAGCTATAAAATAAGAACCTGTGACGCCATGGGGACCTTCTCTCCCCTCTAACCCCCCCCCCCCAGGTCACCATCGACTTAGGGGCAAACCATGTGGATGGCATCCCCGTGTTTCAGGCTTTGGAAAGTTACGGACACCTTCTGCATAGCGATTCGCTGTCAGCATCCGGGGAATAGCTACTGACACATCCCTCCGTCACGAGGCTCTTGGCTCCCTTGAAGCGTGCGATAGTGTGTGGGCATCCTCTAAGTGCAGGAAATGCCCCTGGAGGAAGTGGGCAAAGAGCGATCGGTCGTCGTATGGATCACCCGCCCGATGTACGCTTTAAATGGATTGCGTTGTGCATTCAAAGCACAGCATCAGAGAGAGAGAAAAGGAGGTGCCACTTCAGCATGGAAATATGATTTTTTGTGTTACATTGCCAGCAGTAAAAATACATTTTTTTAAAAAGAATAAACAAACAAATAAGTGACAAGTGCACCTCCACAGTTCAACCCTTGCAACCCTTGTTAATCGCTCAGAGAAGAAAAATCACTTTGTAAATATTGTGAGAGATAAAAGACGCAGCCTTGGATAAACACGGTAGCCTCTTCTCGAGGGCCAATTGTTTTGTAAAACATGCTCACGCTCAAGATTTCCTTGTCATACAATCTGTGGCGCCGGATCAAAAAGAGATTAAAAAAAACCTTTTAAAAAGATAGCACCCCTCAAAATAAACTAGTGAAATATTTAGCATGTTACATTCTGTACCGTCCTTAGATGAACATCAAAGCAATCTGTAACAAAGTAGATAATACCAAGTGGTTATATAAAAATACAGTAAGACCCAATATGAGTCTGATCCTTTATCATAATACTGAAAAAAATAATGAAACATTGTAATTACACAGAAAGCAATAATACTCCTCTCGTTCCGGACACTTCAATTATAGGTTTTCTGTATGTCAATAAACTACTCCAAGGATAAAAAAGACCCAGAAACACAATGGCTGCCATAACAATTAGATAAATGAGATTGTTACTAGGAAATGATAACTGATTAACTAAAGAGCTAAAGCAAATATCAGACAAAACTGTAATGTTCATTAAGGCTCAGACCTGCAGACTATGGTCCGTCAACCTGCTCTTGTGCTTCTTGCCCTCTCTTGTTCCTGTTCTGTTGTTCCTGTTCTCCTGTTCCGGTTCTCCTGTTCTGGTTCTCCTGTTCCCGTCTCTCTGTCGTTCTTGTTGCATTTCACAACCTCATCACACTATTTTAACCTTTCTGGTAAACACCTCAGATCATCCAGTCGGCCTCTAATCCTTTGGCTATGAGAAATACAGTAATGCACCCCCCCCCC